GTTATGTTATTGCTCTTGCGCACCACAAACACACAATTTTCAACACCCAATTTTAGTAAGTTGTTCGGACGCTAAATTTGAAGTTTTTACAGAATGGTGAATTTTTATAAATTTCTTTCTTGCTGAGAAACTAAGTTGCAAGGATAATCGGACTTAAAAGGAAAATTATAACCGAAACAACATGTATGTAGGGTTGCCATCTGTCTACGCTTTTTGTAAAAATTAGTGTTAGCTAAGTTTATGTTTTAATGCATTATTATTATAAATATATTAAGCAAATTTTCTACACCTCAACATATAAAGGATTCAAAAATTCATATGCAACGCCATATTGTTCCTGCTCAATCGAGGTGCAGCTTTTAAAATGTTGGCAAAATTACGGAAAATTCCAAAAGCTTTAGTTTTTAAATGTTTATCACTCTATAAATTATTTTGCAAAAAGTGTAGTAATTGGCAGGCCTGTGCATGTAATCTGCTTCTCTGACCGTATTATAAAGTATCAAATTGATTAAATTGATTAGTGTGATCAATTTAAATCAATGATTTCATGTAAATTCGCGCGAATATTTATTCTTCTTATGTCACTAAATTTTTAAATAATGTGCATGAACAAATTCGCTACCGATTTTTAAAAAAATTTAATTAGAAATTTTGCAATAAATGTCGTTTTGAAATTAATTTAATACCTTAATTTAATTTAGGTGAATCAAAATCAGTAGGATTCAATATGTTTTTCACGGATCCAATGTCAGAATTTTTTCTACTAGAATCATTCAGAGGGGAAAAAGTTGTTCCTGGCACAGTTACAGTCATTGCTGTAAATTTAGAAAAAGTACGTAAACTATTTCTGTAGCGGCATTAGCAGCACGTTTTAATACTTAATCTCACAAAGTTTACTCACAAAATATTTTTAAAAAATATATGTTAACTAATTTTATTCTTTCGATTGTAAGCACATTTTTAGGTTTGTTCTCATAAAGTTTAAGATACTAAATTTTGGCAAAATATGCAAAATTCTTTTGTACTGTATTTCACAATACGTTCTTCGGTTGGAAGTATACACAATAAATTTTAGAAAAATGTATTAGCCCTTTATGTACTGCTCTTAATAGCACATTTTTGGGTTACATTTAATAAACAATTTAGAAAAAAATAAATTTAGCAAAAAAGAAGTTTGCAAATAAAACTGGAACATAATTATACACTATGAAACAATCTGTAGAAGAGTGAATAACTTTTAATTCGTAGCTGTCCCACTCATACACTGTGCTCATTTACTTCACTCATACATTATGCTCATTTACCTCATACATTGGGCTCATTTATTTCACTCTTATGCTAATTTACTTCACTCATACACTATGCTCATTCACTTCACTCATACTTTATGCTCATTTACTTCACTCATACATTATGCTCATTTCCTTCATACATTAGGCTCATTTACTTCACTCTTATGCTAATTTACTTCCCTCGTACGCTATGCTCATTCACTGCACTCATACTTTATGCTCATTTACTTCACTCATACATTATGCTCATTTACTTCATACATTGGGCTCATTTACTTCATTCTCATGCTAATTTACTTCAGTCGTACACTATGCTCATTTACTTCACTCATACTTTATGCTCATTTACTTCACTCATACATTATGTTCATTTACTTCATACATTGGGCTCATTTACTTCACTCTTATGCTAATTTACTTCAGTCGTACACTATGCTCATTCACTTCACTCATACTTTATGCTGCTTATTTACTTCACTCATACATTATGCTCATTTACTTCACTATGTACACTATGCTCATTTATTTCACTCATACGTTATGCTCATTTACTGCATTCATACATTATGCTTATTTACTTTACTCATACATAATGCTCATTTACTTCATACATTGGACTGATTTACTTCACTCTTATGCTAATTTACTTCAGTCGTACACTATGCTCATTCCCTTCACTCATACTTTATGCTGCTTATTTACTTCACTCATACATTATGCTCATTTACTTCATACATTGGGCACATTTACTTCACCCTCATGCTAATTTACTTCAGTCGTACACTATGCTCATTCACTTCACTCATACTTTATGCTCATTTACTTCACTCATACATAATGCTCATTTACTTCATACATTAGGCTCATTTACATCACTCTTATGCTACTTTACTTCCCTCGTACACTATGCCGATTCACTTCACTCATACTTTATGCTCATTTACTTCACTCATAAATTATGCTCATTTACTTCATACATTGGGCTCATTTACTTCACTCTTATGCTAATTTACTTCAGTCGTACACTATGCTCATTCACTTCACTCATACTTTATGCTACTTATTTACTTCACTCATACATTTTGCTTATTTACTTCACTCATACATTATGCTCATTTACTTCACTATGTACATTATGCTCATTTATTTCACTCATACGTTATGCTCATTTATTGCATTCATACATTATGCTCATTTACTTCACTCACACATTATGCTCAAAACACAGAAATAATACAGGGAGAGAATTCTTCGATAAATCTTTATTGGAGATACAAGATTACATTGGAGTTACATTGTATACAAGATTTTACTCCACTACAATCAACTAAATGGGGTAATGATTGATTGCTTCTAAACTTCGTGTACACACGCAATAGAGTCAGAAACAGCTAGTTTGAAATTCTGGAAGGCATAATTGCCTTTATAATTTGACTTATTATGGTATTAGTTATTTGGAGAAAAATATCGTCCCACGTCGAATACGAATTAATTTTACGATTTTTTTCCCTAGTGGAACAGAGAAGCCCTGTACAGCCCTTGGCATGGGATCACAACAGATTGTCCTAAGTATCCTTTCAAGAGATTTAATGACACAAGTGATCCAGAAAGGTATATTACTGATGTGTGTCAAACATTTGTTCTGTTTGAAGCACACATTGAAGGATGCGGATGCAATTCTGTCATTGATACAAGTATGCATTATAGTTTTGAAATACTTATAAATGATGTCATGCCCCAACAATAATAGAAAATTAAATTATAAATAAAATATAATTGTTCTTCGTTTTTTTTCGAATATTTATAGTTATAAATAAAAGAAGTTGTAATCATGCAAGCAGCAACATATCTGAAAATAGCTCACCGATTTTTTTTTTCTTTTTGAATATTTACATTTTTATGATGGAGTTTTTTCCCCTCGATCAAGAGTAATTATTGTGGGAAATTAGTGACACAGCATTTATGATGGAGTTTCTCATCTCGATCAAGCGTAATTGGGATCTTAGTGATATAGCATTTATGAAGGAGTTTTTCATTTCGATCAAGCGTAATTGGGATCTTAGTGATATAGCATTTATTATGGAGTTTTTCATCTCGATCAAGCATAATTGGGATCTTAGTGATATAGCATTTATGAAGGAGTTTTTCATTTCGATAAAGTGTAATTGTCATGGGATCTTAGAGATATAACATTTATGATGGAGTTTTTCATCTCGACCAAGCGTAATTGGGATCTTAGTGATATAACATTTATGATAGAGTTTTTTTTTATCTCAATCAAGCGTAATTGTTCTGAGATCTTAGTGATATAGCATTTAATCTCGTCTTTTTAGACTGGTGATCTTGTGCTTGCTTAAGTGAAATTTTTGCTCAAAAAACGCCCCTAAGGTGTTAACTCACATGATCTAGACCAGGGGTTTCCAACTTACATGAGGCCGGGGGCCACAATTAACAACACAAATCAAATGGCGGGCCGCAACTTTATCAAAATTTTATGTAGGATTCTTTTATGTTTGAAGAAACATAAAATATTACTGTCAGATTTTTACCAAGTTGTACAAAACAAAAGTATTGAATCATAAATTAAAATAAGAAGTGAATTTTTAAAAATACTTAATTGTTACTAATAATATTTCCAAAAATATTAAATAAATAATAAAAATTCATGCTACATTAACTTTAATGTGCACCTATGTATTAAACAATTAATGTGCAACAGATATCTAGTTGTTAAGATATAAAATTTTAAAAAGGTTGGTATTAAAACTTACATAGTACCCACACAAAATGTTCAATGAGAAAATTGAGGTTTATCTGCTGCAACCACCAAAGAATTGATATTAACATTTAAAATTTACAAATGTGCGTGTAAATATTTTCGTCCAAAATGAGTGGTTTCAAAAAGTTAAATGAGAGAATTTCTTCGAGAAAATTTCTGATAAACACACGCTGAATTATATTCACGAAATACAAAGAAATGAAATAAAAAAAAGAGCAACATACACGATTATTTTTGTATTCGAATAAATATTTTCTTAAATGCAAAACCCAAGAAATAAATTTTTTTGCTCTATTGGTATGTTAAATTTAACAGAAATTAAGAAATTAGGTTTCCATTAACGAGAAAAGTATTTTAAACCCATATAGATATTTTACGAAAATTGTCCGCAAAGAATAACAACTAATATATTTTAGTTCGGGGGCCGCAGAAAAAAAGCTTCGCTGGCCGGATGCGGCTGCCGGGCCGCCAGTTGGAAACCCCTGATCTAGACTATGAGTTTATACGTAGAAAGATAACATGTAGTTCGCAAAAGAAATGCAAATTTCCAATAGTTATTTCGTTTTAAAAAATGAGTCGAGATATGTTTAAATTGTTTCCATAAATGATTTTAATTTGCAAAATGGAACCCATTAGCCAATTTAAGCAGCAACCAATACAGCAGTTTTCTATAACATGTGATCCTGCGATAATATAAAAATAATGGACAAAACTTTCAATTTCAATTATTTCTTTCAATCATTTGAGAATATGTTAGGATGGGTGCAAACAGTTAGGCGATTTAACCAGCGGTTCTTACCACAAACACGGGGTATTTTTAAATAAGCATGAAATTCAGCGCGGTGCTTAAAAACTGCAAAATTTCATTCAACCAACTTGCGTAAAATTAAATTTTTTCATAATGAGTATTAAAACAAAGCAATAAAAATAATCCTTTAACTGGTAGGTGTCCCGCAGTGGACTGATCGTTAAGACACGGTTCTCATTAGATCACCGAAGTCAAGCATCACTGGCTGCGGTCAGTGTGCGGGTGGGTGACCCACTTGGATCAGTCTGCGTAGGGACCGAGGGTGTGCGGTATTGGTCCTCGTTAAACTGTGCTACCGTAAAGTGCTCGACTTCGCGCGCAGGTCGTCGGGCTACCGAAGCGGGGGTGCCATCCCCTCCGCAGAGGATCAAAATTGTGATGGCATGTCTTCGGATCATCCTCCGGGATGTTTCCCAGACCGTCGCCAATAGCCCATTGTGCAGCTCTAGTGCGACGTAAATTAACAATAATAACAATTAACTGGTAGGTAGGTACTTCATTTACGTCTCACTACAGCTGCACAATGACCTATTGGCGACAGTCTGGGAAACATCCCTGAGAATGATCCAAAGACTTATCATTGCAATTGCGATCCTTTGCGGAAGGGATGGCTCTCCGCTTTGGTAGCTCGACGATCTGCACGCAAAGTCGAGCACTTTACGGTAGAACAGTTTAACGAGGATCGATACCCCACACCCTCGGTCCCAACGCAGGCTCATTAAAGAGGTCACCCACCCACTCTCTGACCGCAGTCAGTGACGCTTGACTTCAAAGTTCTACAGGGAACCGTGTCTTTGCTATCTGTCCATTACTGGACCCCTTTACTTGCTTGGTGTTAAGACTTCATTGCATTTTTCTTTTTATATTTACTTTTTCTTATTTCCTCTTTGAACTTTTACTCTATTAACTGCCCAATCACTTATTTGAACGATTGGGCAGTTAATTGACTAAAAGTTGAAACACAAAGCTCAAAGATTTGACACTGCCTTATCACTTTTTGAACGATTTATTCTGTACTGATATTTATTAACCTTCTTTAATTTCTGTTATTAAAAAAATAAATCATCAAATCAATAAAGGCGCTCATTTATTGGGTTTTAAAAAAGTTCTGGATCAAGAGGCACACGAAAATTTTTGGGGCAGTACGCATGGGTAAAATGGGAATCACTGATTTTAGAGGACCGATTCATAACACCCTAAATGGAAATAACGCTTCGTAAAATTTAAGAAAAACGAGAAAGGAAAATTGCCAAGCCCCAGAGACGAATCTAGGTCATTTTCGGCGCCTAGTGTGCCTTTTCCCATCCATAAACTACTTCATTTATTATAATGAAGATCTTACATTTCAAAAACTAAATTTTTGCAGTGGAACGGGACGTAACAAATTAAGCCCTCTTTTCGGGGTTAGATAAGGTTTATTATCATTGTAAACTTTTGCACTATATTTTCAATTCAAGTACTTTGTATATTCAAACTGAAATATATTTTAAAATGGAAAATATAATTTTATGATACTTTATATCTATGTGCATTTTTTAGGAAACTTTTCAAGGAGGCAATGTGATCCATTCGAAGTATATAATTGCTTCCTAAAGTATGTCTTCAACAAACTAATATGTAAGAACCATTTCAGAATTATTAAATATATATGTTAGGGTGAAAGACCGAAATCTGGAGAATGTCGACTCTCACCGGTGAATGTCAACAAACACATAGTCGCTTTGGTGAATGTCCGAAATATTTGTTATATCCAATTTTACTATTAGGTGACGCGTGCGCAGCAACAAGGGCCTGGGTCGAGTCCCGGCATTCCTAGAGAGCTGCTGTGTTCAGTGCGCGGGTGAGCTGTACAGTCATTTCTGTATCTTTAAAATGTTCAAATTTAACAAATCGTCCACCACGCACTCCTTTAATCGGCAAAAAACCTGTCTGCTGCATACATTCACTGGCAGATTTGTGAAGTAGCGAATTTCCCTGCCATGCTGACAGGGTATTTTGCTACTCTANTGACCTTAAAAAAACATCAGTGTAGGGTATACCGGGCAAATGTATGCCGGGCAGTGGCACTGAACCTTAAAAAAACATCAGTGTTGGGTATACCGAGCAAATGTCTACCGGTCAAATGTAAATGTAGGGCCCGATACTCCAAACACTGGTGTTTCTTCTGATCTATCGTCAGTAAGTATTAAAATATCAAATAAATGTAATTATATCCACGAATAAATTCATATCAAATCGAATGTAATAAATATTTCGGACATTCACCAAAGCGACAATGTGATTGTCAACATTCACCACCACCGATTTCGCTCATTCACCGTAACACACACACACACACACACACACACGCACACATATATATATATATATATATAAGCGGATGTAATAGCATAGGCAAATATCTAGATTCTGAAAATAATCAGGTTCGACACCCATGCGTGACGTCACTTGCCGATACCCCCATTCAAGCAAAATCTGATATTTAATAAATAGCTTAAGTGCAGGCACTTTCAAGCCACTTATTAATTCGAAGATTTTTGAAATTCAAATCAACATTTTTTCTTTGCCCTTCCGAAATGAAGAGTTGACAGCACTTCGACAAGAGCCCACCTTTTTCAAACACTTTGCCTAGGCATTTTAATGGATCTGGCACACCTTCAATCTGTCAGACAACTAGAGTCATCTGTATGCATTTTTTTAAAAAATCGGTGCTGAACAGTTGACCTAATTCTGAATTTGCGATTATCAATGTTCAACTCTGCAGCCTTGTAATTTTGAATCCTACCCAGAAGACAAGGTAATTCCTAGATCAAGCATTGGGACAAACTAACCGTCGTGGATGATTTTTTGATGGAACTAACTCGCTTTTGCGTTGCATGGAATGGAAAACTACCTATGGTTAGCCCGATGACAAGCTTTTTCTAACCCATGATCCGTCTAGTATTAAGGATATTTTATGTTACGCACGAATCTCCGGTCTGGGCTGACTTCATCAGAGCAGGTCTGTGAATCCACTGACACGCATGAAATCAATGACCAGTAGGAGGAAATCATAGATGTCTTTCTATGAAAGTTTAGAGCCGTCTAAGTTGTATTCAGGTGAAGTTTTGTAATGGTGGTACTTAGGGCAGGGTGGGTAGGTTTTTCGGCCCTCAGAATATTGTAGGCCCTTAATGTGGCCCCTGTCGAGACGTAAGAGGCTGGTATATTGGAGCTTAGGTTGCAAGGTAGTGTTAGAGATAGACCCGATTTCCTACCCTTATACAGGTGATGTTGTGGAGGTGACAACCAGGCTTTCTAATTTTATGCTTTTATTCGGGAGAGTATCTCTAGGCGAGTCTCTGTTAAAGAGGTAGAGTGATGACTGTCATGTTTATAGGAGACGATCTCCAATTTGTTTATAATAGTAATACTTGTTTCGTCTCCTATGTGGGTCCGGTTGTTGAATCGAGCTGCGGTTGACAGTAAGTATCCAAAGGTTGGTATAGTTACTTTCATTCTTCAGAACAGCTTGCAAATCCTGCGTCGATCACCAGCAGTTCACTTCGAAACACGGAACTGAAGTCCAGATTACGTTTACTAAGAGAAAATCTAATGTGGGATCTGTAGAGTTTCGAGTGTCAAGTGGAGTTCAAGACTGTGATCGGTGATGCAATCATTTCATTTCATTGGGAGGCGAACGCTTTATACCCTGGGCTACCATGGCTCTCTGTATCCGCTCTTTTATAGCTGGCGTTGAACAGCCGACCCAATTCAATGTTCAACTCCGTAGCCTTTAAATTTTTAATCAAACCCGGTTCACCTCATTGGGAGGCAAATGCTCTACAGCCTGAGCCACAGCGGCTCTACATTTAAACATGTATTTTTTATTTTATTTTATAACCGTTTTGGAACAGTCGACACAATTTTTGGGTTTACGACCACCCATGTAGTGGTGGACTTACGTCCACCAGTTATGTATCCATGTAATTTTGAACCTAATCCAGAAGACAAAGGAACACCTGGATCAAGTATTATGACAAACTAGCCTTTGTAGGGGACTTTTTGATGGGGCTAACCCGCATTTGCGTTAGATGCAGAAGAAATCCACGAAAATCTCTCACGGCACGGGGACTCTAACCCATAATCCGTCCACCACTGAGGATATTTTACGTCAGCACTGTAGTTGATGCAAAATGGGTGCGTGGAATTCATATTCACAACCATCACTGGGATTCAGACCTGGATTGGGAGGCGAGTGCATCATCCCCTGAGTCATCACGACTCTCTGTCTCCATTTTGGGAAATCCTGAAATAAAAAGTTATGATCTGTTTTGTGCAAGCTTCGTAGATCACTGAAATTGTTCAGTAGTAGCGCTGAACAGAATAAGTAAAGGTTCGGGATGCTGCGTGAAAGAGCTAAAGCTGAAGTCTTCAAATGTTTCAGAACCGGAAAAATGCAAGCACGGTTAGACACTATAGTGGAGCAAACGTTTTGAGACATCAATATCATCATTGTCTGCCCTTTAGTGTAACTCAAGTTAAGAATGAAGTCAACCATGCATTTTTGCTTTCAGCTTTTCACACGTAAACATATTCTGTTCATGGAGCTGGATGAACAGCAATCACTGTCCTTAATCTATATATTTTAAATCTTCTGTTCGAAAAAGAATTCGAAACTTTTTACACGTTAGGGATCGAAAATAAAATGTTCAAGTGGGGAAAAAATAAAAAACTTTATCAAAACTTTACGAAACCCTTTCAAGGAAGTCATGTTTTAATAAATCCTTGCTAGTTTGTTCGATCATTCGACTTAAATGTGTTTCAAATAATCGCCGCTCAGTTCCTCTCAGTTTTATCTGGCAATCATATTTGTTTTGGTGTCTTAAATTTCTCCTTTATTTGCTTCCGGATTCAAAAGTTGTATTGTTGCATTAAAATTATAAAGTAATTTACTAACAATTTTTAGTTACAGCTATGGTAACGATTTGTCACGAGCCATGCATCAAATATAAATACAAGACGGAAGCTTCGTATATGGGATTTGGAGAAGAAAATAAGACGTAAGATATTAATCTTCGGTAAATTCATTCTCGTTATCGTGTAACAATTATTTGTTAAAAAGCATTCCGAAAAAAAGATATTAAATTCTCTTTTGTTGTAAATAATCTATAAACTGTCTATGCAAAAAAAACTCCAATCTGGAGTTGTGGTGGTGACTATTTTTACGAGGTTTAACTACACTGCTTGACAATTGCGGAGGAACAGCTACATTTTTCGAAATTGTTAATAACAGACATTGCTTGAAGAAAAGAAATTAATAAATAAAATTTAAAGAACAATTTTACGAAACGAAAATTAGTGGAGACAATGGGCATTCATTATTACGAAGAATGGTACAGTTATCACCACATTGAAAGATAAGAAAATTAAAAATAAAAAAGCTGCTCTTTGGGCGATTTTCAAGTATCCACGAAAAATGGGTCTTATTGCCTGAATAAAACAGATATGATTTCCTCAGTGAGATGTGTGATTACCTCGTACACTAATACACATTTTGGATCTGTTAGTCCTGCTGCCACTAAACTCTGAAAGAGTCTTTGGGGAATATTGACTCTTACACAGTTCAGGGAAGGCATATTATTTGTGAAACACGTCTGCCAAGAGCATCCCAGGCACACTCTATGGGATTTAGATCCGGGGAGAACGCAAGTTATGCCACACGGATGATATCTTCACTTTCTAGCCTGTCAACGCTTTTCTTCCTCAGTGAGATGTGTGATTACCTAGTACGTTTTTTGCATGTGTTATTCCTGCTGCCACTAAACTCTCGAAGAGTCCTTGGGGGATATTAACTCACGCCTCTGTCAAGGCGATTTTTAGCTCTTGCACAGATCAGGGAGCGCATATTATTTGTGAAACACGTCTGCTTAGAACATCCCACGCAAACTCTATGGGATTTAGGTCTGGGGAGAAAGCAAGCTATGTCATACGGATAATATCTTCACTTTTTAGACTGTCAACGCTTTTGCTCATCCGCGCATCGTCGTCCATAAATGAAAAGTCTGGACCTACCATACTCCTAAAAATACGAACAGTATACAGAATAATCTCTCTGCAAAACCGCTGCCATGCTACGCGACTCACTCAAAGATGTGAAGCTGTGATTTGTTCTGCCATTGTGCATGATGCCTGCTCATATCAGCACACTTAGGCCATACTGATCACGTTCATGAACATACTGATGTGCACACGCGTTCTCCTATCTCTCCCCACACTAATTGGTTGCCAGAATGAGTTAAACGGGATTCGTCAGAGAACATCACACTTGACCACTATTGGTAACCCTACACTCTCAGCAATAAAACTCTCATTTTTGACGATTTGGAAATACTTGAGCTATATTTCGTTATTTTTTTAGAATAATATCATTACGAAATCACGTAATTTGCGATGAAGCGTGAACTCTCAAATATACGACGGAAATGTTTCCTCAACTCGAAACCTCATTGTAATGCATTGTGAGTGATTGTTACCTAGAATAACGAAACTAGAATGAAGTGACGAAGTAAACCAACTGCCTGAGAGGTGGTGAAAGAGTTGGTTGGCCTCATTTCAAGAAGATCCCGGAATCGAATCTCGTTGAGGCACGGGTTTATTGTATCTTTTCTGGACTATCTGTCCTTCTTGCTTTGTTTGATTGGCATTTATTTACTTATAAGGTGCCCACGATAAAGTGAAAATTGGAAAAGTTTGATACTTTAAGTACTACGAGTTTTCCATTAAAAAATATAGAATGACGAAATATTTATTTAATTTTGACGAAATTTGTTTCCTCGAGGAAGTGACGATAGTTATTTCTTCACTAAAACGAAATTTTTGCTCAGAGCATATACCAGGAAATGGTTTCGTCAAAAACGAAGAAATTTTTGTAAAATTTGGATATCCACTCTTTACAGTGCAATCACTACGTTTCTTAGAACAACGTAATATTGTGTCTTGCGGAAGCCGGATGCATCGAACAAGCTTCTTTCCATGCAAAACAACTTGATTAAGCGTCATGAGATAGTTCTAGCAGAAACATACGTACCGGTAGTGGTTGCAAGGTCTAAAGCTATCTGTCTATGTTTTCCCCACTAGGAATACATATCAACCAACCGGAGGTATGTTGTTTCTACTACAACCAACGGCATACTTTCGCATAGCATTTCCATAGTTGCATTTTTTAATCGCAAGATTACATTTTTTGATACTTCCACTACTGTGACCACAGTGGTGACACTTTGAACTACTTTCAATCATCGAACTGCTCTTCCACGATTGTAAGCACTCAAATTATGTTTTGCTGATATTCTGCATTTAATTATTGCAACACCACTCTGAATTTCAAAAAGCTAAGTTCAACAACCCACGGTTCTATTTCGGCCAAACACCTGAAAGCATGAATTTTCGAATGAATGAAGAGCTCGTGTGCACTCCCTTTCATACAGATAACAACACCTGCTCGCAATCTGCACTTGATTTGTCTGTTATTGGTTTGCTACCAGGCACACTACTCAGCACAAAGCACTTGTTCCTTAGCAATTGTCCTGCAGTGTATTTCAAGTGGGGGTGTTGGATCAATATATAAGTCAAGTATTAGCTAGGGTCGGCGAGAGAAAGGGAATCAGGTGAGAGAGAGGCTCCCCTATTTGAAATGTGCTATTTCTTGCTTCCATAGCAACAGACGACGTCAGGAGTTATTTCTATACACGAAATATACCCTGTATCGACATACCAGTCGCTTACCATGGCACGTTTAGATTATTTTTTTCTGTTTGATACAAGACCGAAGCTTGTTGTTGTAGTTCATTTACGTAGCACTAGAGCTGCACAATGGGCTATTGGTGACGGTCTGGGAAACAACCCTGAGGATGATCCGAAGACATGCCATCACAATTTTGATCCTCTGCAGAGGGGATGGCACCCCCGCTTCGGTAACCCGACGACTCGCACGTGAAGTCGAGCACTTTACGGTAGAACAGTTTAACGAGGACCGATACCGCACACCCTCGGTCCCTACGCAGACTGATCCAAGTGGTCATCCACCCGCACATTGATCGTAGCCAGTGATGCTTGACTTCGGTAATCTGCTGGGAACAGTGTCTTAACGATCAGTCCACTGCGGGACACAAGACCGAAGGGCTTCATAGGATTTACAGTAACAAATTACATGTAAGACGTTAATAATAAATAGAAATTACACTTATAGCAATGACTATTTTCCGTGTAGTTGTTACTTATTAATAAGGATTTTGGAAAGTTGATAGATTCCCTTTTGGTTTAAAACTACACCTATCTAACTCACCATAGTTGTAATTTTCCTTTTATTGTTAGACTACACCATATCAACATACGAATAGTTTGTCAAGTTAATTTCAGGCTGATTTTATACAGGGTGATTATAAATCGCGGGGCAAACTTGGAGGGAAAGTAAGGCCCATTATAAGGATTAAGACTTGCATAAAAATATCATTGTCAGATATCATATTCTGTAATAAACTATTTCAACGTGTAACTTTAAAAAAGTACTTTTATTAATCCTAATTATTTTAAAAACATCATAACGTTATGTTTCCTAATAATTATTGACAAAAATTGCATGGCAATAAACGCAAAAATAATGAATTTATTGTAATTTAATTATTAAGCGAGCTTATCAAATTGGTAGCCAAATTATTAAATTATGATTAAAAATCTAACACTGAACCAATTTAAAGGAGAGTTTTAACAATTATTATTAAAAATCATAAAATTAAGATTAAATTAATATAATTTAGATAAATAAAAGTACTTTTTCAAAAAACCACATAGAAATAGTTCATAAAAGGGAAGCGCCCTTAACAGCGCACCATGATATTTCCGGTCATGGGTAACCTATGCAATTCTTTATTTTTATGATGTACCCCTACCATCTCTTCATGTCCCATGATTTTAGAATCAACTTCTATTTTAATTTTTACTTTTGAAATTAATGAAATATGAAAAAAAAATATCGTATACTTTATTTAACGTTGTTTGTCATTTTTACATTCTTTGAATTCAAAATTCCTGTTTTCGACTTAAAAGAATAATAATAATTCTTTAGCAAGTCTCAAAAAGTGGTTAGTACTAATACAGATTTAAACTTAAAGCACAGGCAACAATTAAGTTTGAAATTAATTCGCCATTAAAATTTTAAAATAAATTTATGTTTATATCGAGTGGCTAGAATACACATAAATTTTTCCAAAAATTTCTATAAATGCCTTTAAAAACATTTTTTTTTCAACAAAAATGCTCATTACGTTAACCGAGTCAAAGTAACACCAAAATATAACCAAACTAAATAATTCACCAAGATAAATAATAACAATAAATAGAGCCAAGGTGTTTGCAAATAAAAATAAGAGTCGAAGTCTAAATGGACGGTTACTAAACATAGGACAAAATCAACGGTTGCTACCGACCACAGTGCGACTAAGTATAAAAAATGGCGATATGTAAATATGTTGTTGTTGTTGTAATTGATTCACGTCGCACTAGAGCTGCACAATAGTCTATTGGCGACGGTCTGGGAAACATCCCTGAGGATGATCCGAAGACGTGCCATCTCAATTTCGATCCTCTGCAGAGGGGATGGCATCCCCCACTTCCTTCGAGGGAGAATTAGAACCTGATTGATGGGTGAAAAATATTTTTCAGCAAAAATTCGCCATTCAAGTACTCCATTTTTCTCTAAGGCGATCGAAAATGCGTAGAGCCACATTCAATGAAAATAGCCCTTTGAGAGCTTAACGAATTTCTGAATTTTCTGATAACCGAGTTTTGTCAATTTTTGTGTCATCTTTTTTGTACTAATGAGCATTCCGAGGTTCTTGAGTATTTTTAATTAAAGCCATTTGAAGCATAGCTCAAGAAGATCTAATTTTATATTTATTGTGTAAATTCTATTACTATTGAAGTGACAATTTTTCCCATTCTAATCTTTTCTTCGTTTAGCCGAGTGGAAATTGTATTCAATTCAGAGAGTTTCGTTTATCATCAATATCGAGTTTCGACATTCTCCAGTTTAGTGAGTAAGTATCTAATAAAATCTGATTACTGACATCTTTTTTTTCTGATTAATGACATTTTTGTATAAACAGGTCAAATAGGAGGAACTCTTGGTTGGTACTTGGGAGCAAGTATAGTGACAGTGATAGAAATCGCAGTGTTCGTAATGTCTTGGATATGGTACAAAATTTTCCCACTTAGAACAACTAAAATTGATACAGTACCTAATGGTCATCAAACAGCTTCAACGGTGCGCTCATGTAGAAGAAAAGCAAATTTGTACGCATAAAATTATTATAAGATTCAATAAATAAGAAAAAGTAAAAGAATTAGTAAGAAAATTATTGGTCTTTTGTGTACAAATTCATAAACTCAAGCACATTATAATACAATTCAATTATTAAATAAATCTCACATGACTAAAACATATTTTAAAAAAATAGTGAAATGTTCATCTGTATGTTTACATTCATACACTCTGGGTTTTGCACGTCAAAAACTAAATAAGATAATCTGAAAATTTTCTTTCAAGGCATTTGTGAGTAATTTCGAAAAATAAACTCCGAAATTTCCATATAAATAAGTTTTAAATTAAAATACTTGGTGCAAAAATTCAAATGAGAATAAATTAAAATTAAATGAAGGCAAATTGCTTTTACAACGCCTTTACGTTTACGCGGTTTTCACTACTGACAAGTTAAGGGCGATTCTCACTGAATGAAAAAAACGCACATCCGTTCATCGTCGAAGGATAATCGGGTTCTCCGTTTTTCTCTGCGGTGATCAGAAGTGCGTGAACTGATTCAGTGAGTATAGCTCAATAAGCAGAAAATCCATACTTTTGCTATCGAATGCAGTTTTTCGCTATCGCAACGCTCGAATACGCCATCTGGGGAGAGACCGGTTTCATGCCGTTTTCCTTTTTCTTAATATTCTTCCTTTTTACTTAATAAAAATATTTTTTAAAATTTCCGTGATACTTTTCTTTAGAACTATGTTTAATGTAGTTTTCAGTTCCATAGATGATTCTCCACACGCTAATGGGGAAATGTAAAGTGTTGCCATAGGTAGAGAGTTCTGCTCTACGCCACCCGCCAATATTTTCCACTAATCTGGTCCTCATTCACATGCGAAAAATAGCAGGCAGGGAAAATGGCCATTAGATGATGAATGTAAGGGACCATTCACACTGCATATAAAAAAATTCGCGCACATGAACACGATCTCAAGCATATGCGAAAGGGGCCGGAATAGCCTAGCTGGTAGGACGTTGGGCCTATGACAGAGAGTTCGATCCCCACAGGCTGAAGACTCCCCGTCTACAAAATTGTGACCGGTGTACGCTAAATCTGTCCAAGTCACTAAGCCCTACAACAAATCAATACCCTGGTGGTGCTGGATCGAAGATTGATCGCTCCCAGATTCATATCAAAATTACAATCTGGGGATGGATGCTATGTAAACGGGTTCTCCTTGTGAAACGGGATATGGCGCATGTATGTTGTCTCCGGATCATCCTTAAGGATGTTTCCCAGATCGAATCAAATAAAGAAATTTTAAAGTTTCTTACACTCGATATCAGTTGTTTTAACTTCTGCCGCCGAAAAGAGAAGCACAGCATGAAATGTGCAGAATTTTCTAGTCGTGATCGGGAAAAACTCCAGCCGTTACGGGGGCTTAATTGAAGTAGCATAAGAAGATTATGTAAGTTCATAGTAAAATTGACGAGTTTTATTTTCTATGCTAAGGTTAAACAAAGACCATCATATCGAAGTACCATGGTTAACGTGATTTTCTGAATAAAATGTTTCAGTCAAGAGAGAATGAAATCAAGTGATTCTAATATTGATTATCTTTATATTTTGTTAAAACTAAAAAAGGATAGGTGGCATACACTTTAGAGGGTTCCCACGGTCCTTAAAAGCTGCTAATAGCTTTTATTTTGGAAAATAAGGGCCCTCAAAAGCACTTAATTTTGGTGCAAGGTTTTTAAGTCTTAAATTTTTCAGTATCACTATAATTGATAGGAGAAAATTTTCAGTTCAATTTCTTAAACTAAAAAGTTGTTGTTTTACCACCTCAAATTGGACCATGCATCGAAGGTTGAGCTTTTTATAGGAGAACCACATTGACTTTCAAAATCAACAAAATTCTAGAAATTCAGTTCTACTGATAAGGCATCTGCTTATAGGAACAAAGTAGAACCCTAAGAATATAATTATCAGAAAAATTTTTTTGAACTAGAATATATAACGAAACTATCTCCAAAAATCTTGAAGAATTAAATAAATTTGTATAAATAACTGTAAAATTATAGAAACCAGTAATATGACAAAACCTCAAGTTTTTTCAAAAATATTTTAAACTATTATTCCTGAGCACTAAATAAGAATGTACAATTTGCTTCTAACAAGAAAGTTAAATATTTGGCAACTATTTATAACTTGTTTTGTTGAAATGTAATTTTTTTTTTAAATTTTCAGATTGTTACATAAAAATTTAAAAATCAACTCATGAGTTCCCAAACTTTTTGTTATTAATGTCTATTAGAATAAAAAATTCAAACTTAGATTTTAATAATTATTTTATTCCGTTAAAATTGTAATTTGAAATATGTTTTTTTTCCTTCTTTTTAAATTTTTATTTAACTTTTGGTTGCTTCAAAATCAATTCACGTTTTTCGCCAGTTTGTTTAGTAATATTATGCAAAGTTAATATGACACATTGGTTGTTCAGTAATTATTTCAAAACGGTTAAGCTACATACTATTTTCATAATTTTTTTTTACAAAACGTTACCTAAGGTGATATTGGCTATCGCAACACTCAAATACGCCATCTGTTGAGAGACCTGTTTCATGCCTTTAGCTCTCCTCCTCTTTTCAGTTGTATAGGAATGTACTACGATATTTTCACTTTTCTTAATGATTTTCCTTTTTATTTAACAAAAATATTTTTTAACATTTCCGTGATGCTTTTCTTTAGAACTATGTTTAATGTAGTTTTCCAACTTAAAAGATTTTAATCTATATGAAAATCAAGAAAGAAATTAACGTACTTTCTTCCTCTATGACTTTCCACACGTTAATGGGGAAAGCATGTGAAGTGTTGCCATAGGTAGAGAATTCTGCTCTACGCCACCTGCAGCCAATTTCGATCGCTAATTACTTCATAATAAAAGAATACCACTTTCAGTTTTAAACAGTTATTCGTGATAAAAATAAAAGCATATTAATGGTGGAGAATAATATAGGATGATAAAGAAATATTAAAACTAAATATGTATGAACAATATAATTTATCAGTATCTGCAGGGGTTATTGTTAGCCCAAGTCAAAATTACGAAAAATTTCTTGAGTTTTAAAATATATTTAAAATTTTACACATACCTATGATGACCTGGAGAGGTAATTGAGTATAATATAAAAAAAACATAACTACTTCCACTTAGTAGGAATAACATTTACCATGGTGCAATGCTAAATTCTATGCCACTATCCCCATAAATCAAAAATCGAATATCACTTACTTTTCTTTATAATGCAATAAACACTTCGTTTGTTTATTTGTGGCTTGAAGTTAGGCTCGCAGAAAATGCCNCACTACTTAACAATGACTTATAAGCCTATATTGAGCACACAAGTCAACAAATGTATGTAATTTCAATAAAATAAAATCGTTTGTCTATTTGTGGCTTGAAGTTAGGCTCGCAAAAAATGCCGTTCATGGGTTAAATTTAGTAGGAATAACACAACCTGCGACGTAGGCTATAGTATACCCAATTAAAATCTTTCTTTCTTGAGCTTATGATTATAGCTACTTACTGATAAAAAATGTATCTTGCCCTCCCTTACAAACAAAATAAACTGTGTTTTTAAGTTCCACCTTTGAAAATTTGATTTCCGGAAACTTCTGCGATCAATGATTTTTTTAAACGTCTGGACCTTCGATCTCCGGAAACTTCCTAATAACTGTTAGCGAAAAAGCCGGATTTTTTCCGGAGTTCAATCAGGCCAATGTTAATTAAGGCCATAGGAATGCGTCGATACCTTTGAAAAATCGTTTTAGACCCTTTTATTTATATGTTACACTGAGAACTAATAAAAAATAAGTCCATAATTTTTTCTTTATTAAAATATGGGGAACCCTGTTTTATATTGTGCTAAATACTCAAACTTCCCACAATCGTGTCCATTTTCTTTATTATGTTGAATTCTTTAACCAGACTAACTTAGGAAATTTACTGTTAACTCTTTAAAGTTTAAGATTACTATCTCAGGAGACTGCATATCTCTGATCACTGCATTGAAGAGCTAAAGGCATATAAAAAATTTTATTAAATGTCAGTTCAATATTAATGTAATTTCTCTTTGTATGTAGATGGGATTTCTGTTGCACAATTCAAGAAATTTTGTATGAGAAGTAACATATAGCCTAAACATCACATTCTTTTTTCTATTTTAAATTAGCTGAATGAGGTTAAAAAAAAAATATATTACTTACTCTGTTTTCATTATTAATACAAATTTCAAGGCAATTATTTTTCTAAGGTGCTCTACATTTTTAACATTAGATTTGTTTGAACAGCTGTAATGTAGAAGTTAAAAATTAGATATAGTAATTTAGATAATAAAATTTAGGAGCTTTTAACTATCAAATTTTCCAATGCTTTATATTTCAAAATCACTTGTGTACCTTGAAAATGGTAAAAATATCTTTAATACAGTTTCTGTTTTGCTTAGCTTTCTTTTGCCAGGAATATATTGCTGCATACATCCGCAAGCAATTGCTTACAAGATTTGGAAAAAATTTCGAGAGATTTTCTCAGTAGCAACATAATACTTGAGTAAAGCAATTAGTGTATGAAATTTAACAATTGGAAATGTAAGATATTTGAGCAGTCAGTTACAATTACTATAAAAAAAAGTAAATAGTTCGCCCCAGTATTATTTTATCAAAAGTAATATGTTTACTACAAATAAAAACTTCCAATTAATTTCACAAATCAACTGGCAGCTTGATTTTTAATTTAGTGTACAGACATGGTAAATTAAAAAATATATATATATGTAATACTATGTTCATTTTTATACAATGTAGAGACGTAATGTATACAATGCGGTTAGGATTGCAATAAGCTAACTATCCCACTTTTAAAATATTGGAAACATCTATAAACTGTCATGGATTGCTCTGAGATAAATACAAGAAAAAAAAATTACAACTAGGTATTAAAAGATTATCTCTAATAGTTTTCAGACTACTATCAGACATTGCTTTGCACAATCAAATACATTTAAAATATTTGTTACCCTTAATTACATTCTAAAAGTAATAAATATTTAGGTTAAAATAAAATTAAACTTGAAATAGACTGCCCAAAAAATATAACTGAGGATTGATACTAATAAAATTTTGATTGACAAGTAAGGATTTTCATCTGTACAGAACTTAGCTTGGTAATTTTTTAAGATTATTCACTCTGAACATTGCAATATATTAATTTTTTTTAGTTATTAGTCTGCTTAATGTTTTTCTTCAACAATTTCAAAATAGTGTCAAATATGTAAAAGGTTTCCAAAAGTTAGGACAATCTGGAAATTTAGCAATCAAGTTCACACAATAGTGAGCTAAAATTTCCATATTTTTCTCAAGCTGTGCACATAGCAGATAATTGTGCAAAATTTATTTCAGGCAAATAAAGCATTGCTTTTTCAGTGGAAAAAAAAGGCATGTATTCAAATTGTAATTTTAATCATTTAACGGACCCTTCACAAATTTGTTTACGTTCATTATTGTTTCGCTAATCGAATAAACCCTTTCGGGGGGAGGCTGTTCAAGACAAACTAAGTTTGAATTTCATATGTAGTATTCTAAGAAAATATTTCCAATTTTTCAAGCATTGTGTGCGCATTATTATTAAATCATAATTTATTTTTTTTAAAATAAATTGATCAATTTATATTTATTCATAAAATTAATTAATAGAATATTATGTAAATAAAAATTAATTTCAGGCAAGTTTTTAAGCAAAATATTATAAATTTAAGAATTGTCTTAAGTTTACTTAATGCGTAACACATTAAAAGTGATACATTACTAAGTTTTGGTATTTAAAATATGTCGATTGAAATTATTAAAAATGTGAGTGATTTTGTCTCCATTATTTGCCTGAAATGAATAATCTGTGTTGAGCAGCCTTGGCTAAATACTAAATATTTGTACGTTGCATCTCTAATTTAGTAGCAGCAATTGTTGAGCAAAATCTTGTATCTATTTACAATTTCAAAACTTCTTGAAAAGGGTTTTTAGCAATTTTTAAAATAACAGAACCCTACTTGCACAAATTCACAATAGCAGGACCCTGTTTGAAAGAATGTGACTTAACACTTATTTTATATTCCCAAATTATGAAGTTTTTTTTCTCACAATTTTACAAAAACAGGACCTTTCACAAAATGCCTGGTGGATCCCTGACCTGAAGTCATGTTCAGACTTGATTTAGATTATCAACAATTAACTAAATATAGAGAATAAGAAACAACCTACATTTCATGCATATTCTCAATGGATTAAATAATTGTAACTTCAATAGGAATTTTTTTTAAAAGATGCAGATTCAGAATGTGTCATGCAACCTGGAAGGAAATGTTAGTAGGAGCTTCTATAACACACAAGTACCATAACTTAAAAACTGTCACTTTGAGCTCCTCATTTACTGCTGAGAATTTTTCAGATGATAAGAAAAGCATCACTGTAAAGATATGTTTACCAGTCTCAAATAAGATTTCATTATTTTCTTAACAAAAAATGCATTTAGGCAAAGAAAAATCTTTTATTAGTGATTCTGACCCGATTTTCAAGATGAAATTTGTTTAACAATAAACATCCACTTAACAATTTTACATAGGAAAAAATGCTAATAAATTTTTTAAACCCAAAATTAAGAGCAAAACAAAAAAAATGGAATAAAAACACATAATTTATAACTACTTCTTAATGTTAAAGTTACATACGCTTCAAACTTTGCTACACATTTGATCTATTAAAAACCATTTGAGCTGCATACACACTAAAAAAAGTTTTTGAAATATTTTTAATTCTGGAGCAACAATGAAGACTTTAAAAAAAAAAACCTTTTTTTTTTATACGTTAAATACTAATCCACGATATTATTTTAACCTATAATTTTATTATACTCGAGAAATCTCTTGAAATAATTCACATAACTATAAAAAGGTCAGCATTGCATATCTTTTTCTGTCAGAGAAATGCTGATCTTTATTAACACTGACACAATGACATAATACAACAAAGGTAATGGATACAATGAAGCTCATGTTATGTACTGCAATTTATGCTACTACAATTTTTGATACAATAGTACATAAACTGCTCATAATAAAACAGTAACTCAAAAGCAAATAAATTTGTACAGCTTCATTAAACATATATTCAACTTCAAAGAAAATAAGAATTCATATGATGGTGTTTAACTAAATAAAAGAAAGCAAAATTAAATTTGAGGAACAATATACCAAATGAAATTTTCTTTTTTAAAAAAAATGCGCAAAAGTTAAGAAAGGATGAGTTCTGTGACACTGAGCCAATAGTGTGCTTTCAAGTTTTAAATATTTAGCAGTTTTTTAATCAATCTAGTTTTGTTTCCACACATTTCTTCATTCCATAATTCGTCACCAATATTTCAAATAATTCTATAAGAAAAATAATATTTATAAGAACAATTTAAAATTTTAATAAATAATAATACTCAAAGAATATTAAGAAAGGTACAGAACTTCTCATACTAGTTTTTACCAGTCTGTTTAAAACTTCACCAGATTATCCATTTCCAAATGAATATTTTATATAAATTTTTAATTTAATTGAATATAAAAAAGAAAGAATTGCTTACACAAAAAATAAACACTTATCTTAATTTAAAACCTATTGAACTAGAAGTCCTTATTTACTGCAAAAATTTCACAGCTTTAACAATTCAGAGCAAGAGTCACTTGCTCTATGTTACAGAACTCACTCAATCATTAATAAGTACAGTCTTGATCTGAATTAAGAGAAAGAGAGAAAAGAAATATTAAAACTCACACAAATAACATAAGCAAAGATATAAAGATTTAAAATTTTATCATTCACTTAATTGTATCTTTTTACAATTATACTGCGTCCTTCTACCGCAAATAAAAGCTACCATACACAGTAAAATATATCAATTTCAAATTATCTACAGTCGTTAAAAACAGCATACTGCCTAGTATCTTTGCAAACTTTAAGCATCACTGTTGTTACTTGCAATAAAAGACCAAGACTTTTTATGATATCCAACCCAACAATATTACAGCAACCTTGCTATACTAATATTCCAATTGCAAAACATAAATAGGGAGCTTGTTTTCGATGTGTTTACAAAAACTTAAACAATAAGATTTTGATTAAACAATTTTTTTGATATCATTACACAAAACATACTAAAAAATCAATGTTTTACCTTAAAATATTAAGAAAAACTCCACAACAAAAGAACAACACTGTAATTTTAAGAAAATAACATTTTCTACATATTGCAAGCAGAATTCTTTCATTTCTTACTTCTTAATTTTTTTCAATTTCTCGGATCATCGAGATTGACCCATACCCTTCAAGTTATAATTCAATTACAGAATTAAAAAAATATACAAAAAGAAATACTCCCTTCAAAGATATTGCAAATGTAGTAAGAAATGAACAATTTTCATGCTTAAAGTCATTCATAACACACATGGGCAAAGTAAGAACTCAAGAATTCATAATACATCTGCATCCTTTTTTCGCAAATAAAAAAACTGGCGAAAATCTTTCCAACAGCCATTAGCATTACATACCACAATGACAATCCATAAGGATTAAAGCATCTAGGGGAGAAAAAAGGTCAAAAAGCATTTTTGCCCCATAAAATTGGATATTGTGAACATCGAGCCATTTTTTCCTCTTCTATGTTACAAAAAGAATTATTTTGATCATAAAATCTTGCATTTTTTACATAAACAATGTTATGGACACGTTGAAAAAAAAAGAAGCAAAAACTATATCAAGCAGACATATACAAACTCGTTGGATGAAATATTTTTTTGAAGCTAAAAAGCAAAATTTTATGAAAATATTCACACCTAAAAAAACTACAGCAGTACTTGCTCTTCCTCTAGATTTTAATTATCCCACATCCCTTTTAAAGCATGGCACAAACGATGCACAATTCTATTTTAACCTAAAAGTACACCAGGATTTTTGTTTCATTTAAATTCACAAACCTGCATATGATAATGATTTTATGGTGATATGTTCAGAGCCAATGAAAGAAGATCAAATAATATTTAAAAACACTTTGGCTGGGACGAAACTTTTTGATTGGTAGCTTGTCTAACCACAGTTTCTACAAAATATAACACAAATTTTGAGACATTTACTTCAGAACATACACAGCTATTAACCTGCTCATAAAAACAGACCACTGCCTGAGAAATATGAATTTTCATTACACAATTTACAACACATATGGATCTGAACTTTTTATAATATTGTTGTGAAGCTAGATGAAAGAAGAAACTTTCTAAAGTTTACTTTCCCTGATATAATAAGGCTGTAGTGATGGGCAGAATAGTTATTCAGCAGTTTACTTAAGCCATACATTTTTTTATATTTTGTTATATCTTTTCGTGCACTAAGAATCGTAGATTTAGCGTCACATGAGAAATAAAAGTTCACTAGCTTGCCTGATGAAGCTACTTAAAACTGGATTGTAACTGCTTGACACAGTATAACATACTTTTTGCACATCAATACAATCTTTGAACAGATTTCATTAGACTGTTGTAGATGACTGGATAGAGATGTGGCCGGAATACAGTGCATAACTTCCATTTTTACTGTGGAATTATATTCAAATAGGGTAGAAGGGAAATAGTGAGGAGAAGAGAACAAATAACACCATATTCAATGAATTTTAATTTTTTTTTAAATGTATTTTTTTTGTTCTATCTTTTTATAACAAATATATATTTAAAATCCATCTGGTGACACACTGAGAAGGTATCCACTCTTCAATAATTATTATTTGTCAAAAAATCACAATTTCTGGATGCCAAAGGTAAACTTCTCCAGTTCAGACTACATGAATGGATCAATCTCTCCTGAGGACTGCTGCAAAAGTCTAGATACTTAATAGCCCTGATTGCTGCACAGATACAGGTGGGATGTAACTTCGTGGCACGGCAAAAAAGGAGGCAGAGTCATTTAATGAACTTCAGAGCTCTCGGGTTTGGGGGCCATATGATTGGGAGCATCTTGAAGAGTAGAATGGGGTTGAGAATGAGGTGCTGGGATGGCTGGAGGAGTTGATAGAGGTTCCAAAGTGGTGGAATGAGGTACACCTTTAGGGTTGTAATTATATCCTCTAGCTCCATTAATGCTTTCACCATATCCACTATTAACAAAAAATTCCTTATTGACACAATTACGCAGTGAGTCTGGTATACGCCCAACAATCGCTCTTCTTATTTCACTCGCAGCCATTTCTCGTAATTCAGTAGAGCTAGCATCACTGTACCATGCAGCATGTGGTGTACAAATGAGGTTTGGTGCATCCTTCAGTGGACCTGCTAAGGCGTTGTATGGCTCATTCTCGTGGACATCTAAGGCAGCTGCTCGAATTCGACCATCTTTTAAAGCTGAAGCAAGAGCACTCTCATCCACCAAGCCACCACGAGCTGTGTTCACTAGAAATGCACCAGGGCGCATTTGCTTGATGGTAAAATCATTGAAAACATGGTGATTATGCTCATTTAAGGTACAATGCAAAGAAACGCAATCACTCTGGAAAAGCAAATCTTGCAATGTGTAAACTCTAGTAAGACCTAGAGATTTTTCAATGCCATCAGGAAGATATGGATCGTAGAATATCACATTGAAGCCAAATGCTTTAGCACGTAATGCCACAGCGGTTCCAACTCTACCCAATCCTACGATGCCAAGTGTGTCTCCACGAATTCTTGCACACCCCTGAGCTGCTTCTCGGACTTGTTCTGGGCCTTGAAATTTCTTTCCTTCTCTCACCATATTGGCTAGCCAATATGTACGACGGTACAAATTTAGAATGAGGCATAATGTAGTGTCAGCAACTTCTTCAACTCCATAACCAGGAACATTACAAACTGCAATACCTAACTCTCCAGCAGCTTTTATGTCAATATTATCAACACCAGAACCAATGCGCACAATGATTCTTAATGCTTTAAATTTATCTAAATCTTCCTTTGTAAGTGTTATAGTGTGCCACATAAGGGCACCAACTGCTTCATTTAAGACTTTTTCATGAATTTCTTGAGTAGATTGTGCATCACAAAATGCTACAGTAGCAACATCTTTTAAAATTGGCATTTCAACAGAACAGTCTCTGCCATCTAAAAGTGCTACTAAAGGTCGAGGATGCATTGTTCTCTTTTGTGGATAAGAAGGCAGCACTTTGACCAAATAAAATTATTTACCTTAAATAAAGTTTTTCGTATACCTCTATACCTCAAAGTTCACCATAAAATTAGTAGCTTCTTAGATCATAACCTGCATATGTTGCTCAACTTTAGCATTAAAGACAGTTACCATAAAATGCATAGACTTTACAAGATAATCTGAAATATAAAAATGAAAAGTTATAAGATTGTTTGACACAAGCACTACTTTAAGATAAATTTAACACTATGTAATCTTGGAATCATGATTTCCATAGTATTAAATAAAACACTAAATTGGTCTAAAGATAAAAAAAAATTAAAAATCCAAATTAAATTGTAAAATATATTTGCTCATGATGATTTATTACAATTTTTTTGTCATTTTTACATCAAAGGGTTCACCGGGTTGCCACTGAAAAAAATGAACAGTATGACTGCTTTTAGTAGCCTAGAGCAAAAAATAGTTGCCTAAATAAAAACAAAATATGACTATAATCTTATTAAATGACTTAATTGTCATATAAACATTAGTGTCCTAGCACTAAATTTTTATATATCAAAAGAATTAACATATTTATAGAAAATTAAACTTATAAATTACTAGGAAAAAATATTCATTAAAAAAAAACTTTCGTTGAAAAGGCGTCCGAAAAACAAAATAGATTTACAATGGAATCTGTGCAAATTGAGCACATTAAAAAGTGACGACCCAAATTTACAATTCAACATTTTTATTTTAAAAAAAATTCATTGTGTTTAAAAGCTACCGCAGGCCTAAGGTTGCCAACCCAATGCATGCAAAAAAAAAACTTCACAAGGAGCACAGAAAAGTCTCCTTTTCCTAAAAATAGTAGCCATAGTCTCCTCAGGTTGAAAATAGTTGCCTGTGGCAAACCCGGGTCATGGCAGTATAGTGCCAATTATCACCAAACGTTTCACAAATGTCACTAAAATCACTTATTTAGGCGATAAATTTGTTTTGAAATAGACTTTTAATTAACAAAAAATATTTTTTTTGCATCAAATTCCATTCATTTAAACACATGGTACCAGGGGTCTGTCTAGGCAGAATTTACTACCGTTTAGCGGTACCTTCACGAATTCAACTTTAGGAAAAACACTAGTTTCACAAAATACTTTTTCTTAAAATTTTATTTTTGCATCCTGTAAGAAATGATAAATCCATATTTTTGTGTTGATTTTTCAATATAATATTTAAATTTCATAAATTATGCATACATTTTCACAAATTATGTCTAAATTTTCATAAAATAGGCACCTCTCAAAAACCTAGACAGACTCTTGGTATGGAATTCAGATGGAATAACAGAATGCACATAAAAAAAAAATTTACGATTAAACGGTGAAATTTCAAAATTAGATATTGTGCTTTATTTTAGATTAATGTACTGACATAATTGTTGATAATAAAATATTTCTGGCTCATTTGGAATTGATTTTATTGAAATTTTATAAAGTAATATTTTGTTTGTTAGTATCTCCTCTGTTTTTTTCATTTATTTATTTGGTCTCAACTGTAATAAATAGGAATTTATTGGAGTTTTTTTTGTATCAATACTTTTTAAAGGGTTATATTTCAATAGATGGCACCACTATGATAAAATTTAAATGCAATCAAAATTATGATATTTCATGAGAAATTTTTAGTGATCCTTTTAAAATGGGATTTTTGGGGTAGATTGTGGATATAAATTGTATTAACATTTAAGGAGGATTGGATTATCACTTTTATGGCGTATTAGTGGGTTTGTAGCTGGTTTTTCTTATGGATCTTTTTTTTTTGTTCTGACGTCCGCTGGATGCGGGGAAACTTTTGAGCGAGTAAACAGGTCAGTATGGATTATTTCGCCTTGATGAAAAAAGCATAAGAGGCGTGAAGAGTGGCTGAAAAAGCAGTACGACGGAAGTGCGGATCGTGCCCGATGGAATGTTGGGTTGAAACATCACCGCTGACAGGATCTATCATGGCTGCTAGAGGTGTGTTCTGAGCCGGTATCATCGAGAATGAGTTTAGATATAGCTGGAGCCTCGGAGTGAGTTGATCTAGGCTGAAAGGTTGGTATTTGGAAAGAGTCTCTGGATGCCGCGACTAAGTATGCAACATTGGTCGGATGAGCTGTTGTCTGGAAGAAAGTTGATCTGAAGCCTCAGAATAGTTGACGGGAAGTGATAGACTGAATGTCGCTAAGCAGAACTCATTCTAGGCACAAAAAAAGGGCAGGGTGCAAAAGTTTAAAAAAAAGGGCATTATTATTCCAAAATGGCAATAATTTCTTCCTATAGGCTTTACTTGTTCTATTAAAAAACATTATCAATTAGTAAAAGAATTTTTTTTTTACTTTACAAAAAGTAGCAAAGCAATTGTATTAATTACTAATTTTTATTAATAAATTAACNAGAAAATCGAATGTTTCTAAAGAACTGAATGGCGGTCAGAAAGTCGAAGTTCTCCTAGTCCACAAGTCTAGCTGCAGGCCCGGTGGGCGTTCCAGAAGGTGATCTGCACGTTTCTTGTGTATTTATAAACTCTAATTTCTTACCTTTTTAGTAACTTTTTAGAAGAGCATTTTATTCCGTATTTTAAATTATTTCTATCAGGTGTTAAGATACCTATTTTAAGGTGAGCCTTGTATATTTAATTTTAATTATCTGTTGTAGGAATATAATGACCTAAAGTTTAAATGTTTTTGTAAATTTAGAATAAGCTAGTATTTTTATTTCGTAAATGTCTCTTTTAGTGTGAATTAATTGAATTTTTATTGTTAACGAAAAGTTTTATCTTGAGTATAACCATTTGGAAATTTGAGTGCACATGAAGGCATCTGGAAATGATTGAGGTTATGTTTGTTGAAAATTTATAGTTATAATAAAATTTAATTTTTATTGTTAAATGTTTCATGTAATTCATTAGTTATTTGTCTATTTTTGAGCCTGGGTAACTGTTACCAAAATTCAATTAAAAGATCACAGCCTTGCCAAAGTTTGAAGGGTAACGGTAGACAACATTCTTATCACGTTGAATCGATTAATATTTTAAGCATTACATTTGGGCTGATGAACCTAATTAGTTTCAGTGTTATATACGGTGATTAATAACTGATGTGTAATATAACATGAATTATGGAATTGTAAAGTTATATCTTTTTCCCTCTTGGTTTTCTAACTAGTTAATGAATACCAGGGGGCTGTCCAGGACAACTTTACTACAATTTAGCGGTACTTTCACAAATTCAACTTTAGCAAAAACGGTAGTTTCACAGAATACTTCTTAAAAATTTTATTTTTGTATCCCGTAAGAAACGATAAATCCATATTTTTGTGTTTTTTTTATAATAATTTTTAATTTTCACAAAATACGTACCTCTCGAAAAACCTAGACAGACCCCTGAATACCTAAGTGGTCCTAAAGGACAACTAAATTTTCATTACTGGCGTGAACCCCACATATATATTACATATATGTATGTATCAGGGGTCTGTCTAGGTTTTTCTGAGAAGTACCTATTTTGTGAAAATCCAACACAAAAATATGGATTTATCGTTTCTTAAGGGATACAAAAATAAAATTTTAAGAAAAAGTATTTTGTGTAACTACCGTTTTTCCTAAAGTTGAAATTGTGAAACTACCGTTCTTCCTAAAATTGAATTTGTAAACGTACCNATATGGATTTATCGTTTCTTATGGGATACAAAAATAAAATTTTAAGAAAAAGTATTTTGTGTAACTACCGTTTTTCCTAAAGTTGAAATTGTGAAACTACCGTACTTTCTAAAATTGAATTTGTAAACGTACCGCTAAACGGTAGTAAATTCGGCGTGGACATACCCGTGTATATGTCATCAAACCCCCCAGTCCGATTCAGAAATGCATGAGTTTGCTTATTGCTCTCATACATGTCATTTTTTATTCAATGTTTAATTATTTTATTTATGGACATGGAGTTTGTCCTTGTCCTAAAGTTGATTAACAACAAACAGGCATACTAGGTGGTCAGAAAGGGGTTTGTGGCCTAGGACCAGCAGACTACAAATTATTTCGAATACAAGGTAGACAATGGAAGAAATCATTTTTTTTAAAAAATAGTTAATTAAATTTATCTAAATTAAAATAACAATACAGAGAATGCTAAGTCACAATTATGAAAAAGATTGTTATCTTGTGACAAAATGTCATATTAATTATCGTTTAAAATTGTATTAGTTCAGAAATGTATTTGTAATATTATAATAAAATTTTATTACAAAGACTGCATCTTTAAGTCACGAATTAGTAGAATTTTCCTTGCCATCATTTTCTAATTTTTACTATTAGATAAGCGCATTAAAAAACTTTACTTAGGTCTTAACCTACATCCTGAAAAATCCAAAGGCGTTAATATATTACACAACAAGCACTAATGTGATTATGCTAATTGAAAGGTATAAAAATAGCAAAATATTAACAATATATTGATTGATAACTATTTCAAGGAACATAACCTTTCTTTTTATGACTTATTTGCTGAGTATAATTTGTACACAACAGTATTGAACAGTAATAGTTGATTTTTAACATTATCACAGCACAAAAATACAACAACATACATGCGAACATAGGAGAAATAAAATAACGGAGATTTCACTAGCAAAATTATTTAGGCTATGAGAAGTTTTGATACATCATGCATAATTATGTAAACAGAAGAAAAAAAAATTGAAATAATATAAGAACTTAAATTTAACGAAGCAAATAATATGTATATAAATCTTCATCTAAAGAAAATTTATAATTACTTAACAGGGGTCTGTTTAGAAGAAATTTGGGTTCGTTAACGGACCTTTCTCAAAATATCTTTTCATAAAAACGGACCCTTCACAAATTTGTTTATCTTCATTATTGTTTCGTTAATCAAATAAACCCTTCCCAGGAAGGGGAGGGGAAAGAAAAACAGATGTAAACGAACTAAATTTTGTCTTCCGCAGACGCTTCTTCCTTTATTCACCCGAAATGAATATTCTGCATTCAGCAGTATAGGCTAAATACCAAATATTTGTATATTTCATCTCTAATTTAGTAGCTGCAATTGCTGCTAATTTTCTAAAATTTAATTTTTTTATTTATAATTTTACAGTGTTGAGCATAATCTTGTTATTTCTTTAAAATTTAAGAACTCCTTGAAAAAGTTTTTTTTTTTTTTTGCAATAACGGACCCTATTTGTACAAATTCACAAAAACCGGACCCTGGTTGAAAGAACGTGACTTAACGTTTATTTTATATTGACAAATTATGAGTAATTTTTTCCCAATTTCACAAAAACGGACTTTTTACAAAATGTCTGGACAGACCCTTCTATATGTGTAACAATTGTACACATTAATTACATACATTAATAATATTTGATACTTTATATACAATTTGCTTTAACTTATTAAAGGAAAATAATATAATATAATAGGAAAAGATTTATAGTTTTTGAAGCTTGAATGAACAATAGTGATTACCTCATTATTAAATACGAACAAATATGCTTTTAATACTGATAAATTATGTTTTTGCATAAAAATAAATATTGGAATATAAAAAATAACAATAAACCTTTTTAATAAAACAAAAACTTGTTTTTATTTTTCCTCTTAAAAAATTTACCTTTTATCGTTTACAATATTTTTTTTTAAATTGTGACAATTTGAATAAAAGGGTTTTGGACAGGACTGATTAAACCGTAGATTAATCCATTCAGTACTAAACCCTGCCAACTCTACTACATACAAATATTAAGAATAATTTTTGCACAAAATCCATTACTTAAATCTGTCCTCTTTTTAATCTTATTGATCATAGCAAGCTATTAAAAACCTTCCAGCAAGGCAGCATGCACTTCACATAATTTCTTGGTTACTTTTAAAATGCAAACAATAAATTGGGTAAAATTGCTGAGGCACATTTTTATAATGGCTTTACTGGTTTAAAATTAAAAAGATGAATCGAGAGAAAAATGTAAAGAATAAAAGTAGTGTTTTCAGTTACTAGATGACAGGTTTAACTATATGGAAATTTATTATATTTTCTGCGAATCATCCCATTAAATTTAAACTAAGTTTTTATGTATAAGGACCTTAAGTTAGCATATTTTACTACTTGTAGTTAGATCAGAGTGCATAGCCAAATCTTTCAAGTACTTTTCTAGCTCTCAAAAAATATTTTTAAACACTATTTACATTGAAAAAATGCAAAATAATTTTCAAAGACTTTATATGATCATGATAAAATAATCAGTCTCTGACAAAGAACTCTTTTCTTGATTATATTAGCCACATAAAAAGAATGACAGATTTTTTGGTTCGATTTCAGAAGCTGGAAAATGAAGCCTGGAATTTAGAATACCTTGCAAAATGCAGCATAGTTGTACATGAGAGTGCAAGAATCTCACCAAACCCAGCTCAGTAGACATATATGGGCTCACAAGTATTTCACCAAACATGCAAAATGATCGGCGGTTTCACACGCTATGAACCACCAAGATGCCAAAATAGATTGTGGTTGAATGAATCGTAAAATAGTTGAATAGAACAATATAATAACCATGCTTTCGCATAATATGCAAAATCACAATTTGGCTAATTTGTGAAAATCAACATGGTAAAGAAGAAGAAAAATCTCATATTAAAAAATTAGGCACTCTTTAAAAACACCTCATAAAAAAAGCACCTTTAAGGATTTTTAAAAAATGAAAAAAGCACCTTCAAGCTCTTTTTAAAAACGCTATGCACCATATAGATTAAGCTGAAAATTTACAATACAGTAATCTCTGCAAAAATTTGAATTTCTGAAGAAAATGATGCAAATTTACTTCTTAAATTCTGCTATCAGGGAAAGCCGCATTAAAAAAAACCCACATTATTGTGCTGTATTTATTATAATTATTAAAATAGAAATACTTTTCACTCTTAAATTGTTTCAGTTCTCACTCTTTAATTTTCAAGTCAACAGATAGCTCTAACCCCATTGATAGAAATCTAGAGCATTTGAAGAGACATCTTTAAAAGAAAAAAAAAACATCTTTAAAAGAAATATGCTTAAATTTACTAAGAAATTACTATTAGAATAACAAAATTAACCTATAGTCAAACAGAGAGATTAATTACAGAATCATCCTCAAAAGTTAGGAAACAATTAACGTTACATTGACTATAAAACCAAAAACTTCTGCATTTCATTGTTTAAGAATCTAGTTATAATGGTCACAAAATAAGTAGTTCGAGTTATTATCCAGTTCATACCTTGATACATTAAATACCTTGAACATGAAATAACTAGTGCACATTATAATATTCTAGTCATACTACTTATTGTAATCAATTTACAAATCATATATAAAATTTTAATAACTAGAAGTTCAAAAATATTGTTTTTCAAACAGACTGGCAATATGACATACTTTAAAAATGAAAAATAATTCTATCATTTAAATCGACAGAATTGGCACTTTAATCCATGTCCACTTAATGTATAATACATAACGATAGGTATAGATACATATCAAAAAGTAGTAGCGCAACGCTTTATTTTCCCGCTTTCGTTAACAGTGCCGAATTCAAGTCGCATATTTTCAGTATCTTGATATCAACAAACATAAATCATAAACTGATAAAGTTGCTCGATTAAAACAGCATTGAGGTTGCATTAAATGAAACAAACATAAAAGGAGAATGGCAGTAACATAAAACAACAAATAAAGGGATTACATACGCTGCGATGTTTCGCAAGACGCGCTTTAATGAAACTTATATAAAGAATTTACTTTAATAAATGGCAACATAGTTAACCATTTTACGTCGCGATAATAATTCATTCACAAAAATTTCAAGTTAACAATAAGAGAAATTCCAAATTTACAACAACAGTAGAAAAAGACTTGGAACACTAAACCATTACACCGCCCGAGCCACTTGCAGGCGTTAGGGACGCCATACCTGTAAGATGGCCAAGCACTTGTCACGATCAACTCTTCAAGGAAATAGTGAAAGTTAGAAACCACATTGAAATCGATTACCACTAATATAAAGATATAAAATGTTCTATTAATCAAATTAAAGTAATTTCGTAACGATTTCTTTACAATTTGAGCAACTTTCTTACAATGAAAAAAGGTTAATAAGAGTGCGTGACTGATAAGCCGAATGAGGAGTACAAGTTGTATACATAAATTATAGTATTGAAAATTCATTAACAAAGATACATAAAGTAAAATGAATACTTACACACAAGCAAAATATATGTTAATAATTTATTTAAGAATTATCCTAAAGCGCGTAAATACTCACAGCTATTCTTCATTTGCATTCTTAAGGTTGTTGCCATGTTTCTTTAAAGAAACAATTATTGAGAAAAAAAATTATTTCATTATTTTTTCGGGTGGTTAACCCTAACTCCAAGGTTGAAAATTTCCCTTTTGTAAAAGAAATCGCATAAATTTATAAAAACAATTTACAAAAATCTTTAAAATAAGCAAATACCATTTCTCACAACTTCTTTAGCATGAGATTCACCGAAAAGTTTTAATTTTGATCCATTTACATTTTTATATGTGTCTCATGGTCAAATTCGAATCTGAGTATTCACGCACTTGCGGAAAACGCGTGAAAACAGTCTGAATTTAATCTGTGTAAGAAGTTGAATGGAATTTTCTGGAATAATTTATTTACATGTCAAAATTGCATCATTCTTCTCTTGTTTTTATATTAATTTGATATTTTCATCATACTGTGCAGAGTCGCACTGATCGCAGTTAGCTTTTTCTCATACTTTATTTTGCGTGTGTCGTTTGTAAGAAAGTTGATTATTAAATTTACTCAAAATTAAGGTAACTCCATTACATTTTCAGTATCATTGTTCCATGCTTATTTGTTCATAGTAATTTTTTAAAATGTTTACATATCATTTTTAATAATGAACTAAGCAAATAAGTGATATATCTTAGTATTGTTACTTATTGTTTTTATACTTTATTTATGTTTATGTAATTTCACTATTTGTAATGTCAAAGTTTTGATCAAATTTCCCGTTATTGTTTTGAAATTAAAAAAATACATACCATATGATTTGATGAGGTGTTCATTGTAAGATATTCATACTAACAACACTTAAAATGTTTTTATTTATTTTTTTATTGTTTCTCTTTTATTATAAATTTTGAAATTCCTATAGTAGCAATTTTATTTTTCTTTGTTTGTACAAGACGTTACATAATAAAATATGGTAATTGGAAAACTGAAATGTTTAACTAAAAATTTTCATTTCTAAATTAGGCAGCGATTTTTATTTTTTCTGTTTCGCTTCTGTATACCATCTTTTATGATTGCGCGGTATTTTAAAAAACGTTTTATGTAGATGCTTTTTTCCATTTATTAACTTTTATAATTTTTTTCCCTTTCATCTTTATTTTTTATCTGAAAGCTGACATTTTGAAAATTTTTTTAGTACTCTTTTTACATTACACGACAGATTATATTCAAATTTAAATTTTTTATCAGTTAAATTTCATAATCTAAAGAGATATGAGAGAGGGCAAGTAGTTTTTTCTTATGGTCTGTTTATTTCCTGGATACTACCTTTGATGGGTGATCTTTAGTTTTCCCACTCTAATGAGAATGAATACTTTTAAGTTGATTATATGAATATAAAACAGTACTGAATATAATATTAACATTTTGTTTTTATTGTATGAGGAAAGTTTTGATCTTTGATTTACGATCTATTTCTTCAAACCTGTTAAAGTCCCGGGATATTGTAGGTACTGTATTAGAAATAATATAGCAAGAATATTACATCTTTTATCATGTCAATAATTTAGCTAAGTTATAATTATATTTCTATGGTGATTAAATTTATTTGTTCATATAAATTATTAATTATTTTTTCAAAAGTGTTCTGCCAAATACTTGGTATTTTGCTAAATTATTATGCATGACATCTTTAGTAAGTTAGTGATGCCTGTTACATTCATAAATGTAGTGAAAATTTTTTTAAAAATCAAGTTTATTTAAAGTTACGTTTAATCATATCCGTACTTACCCTATAATAATTTAAGATATTGGTTAAACAGTATGTCTTGATTTCTATTATTATAACAATTTTAAGGAATATATTTATTTCGTGTCTGAAATTTTTTATAAATATTTCAGAGTAAATTAGAATTAAAACAAGAATTGTGAAAAAAATGGTTTAAATTGACAAATTTTTATTAGAAAAAATATCATATATTGAATTGTTTGTGAAAATTACGGTAATTGCGCCTGAGATATGGCTCAGCATTTGATTTTAAACCTTAAACTTTGGTATGGGTTACTTATCTAATTACATATTTTTTTGTCTGCTTTTTGCCAAAAATTGAAAATTCTATTTTGTTGAATTGATGTTCTATTATTCCCTTATTACTTTTTTTTTTTTTTTTAAATATCTGTGGTGATCTGTTTTTATAGTGTTATATTTTTTGTATTACTCTTGAACTAATAATCTTAACTTTCTTATTCTTGATATTTTTCTGAACATAATATAAAGTATTGTTTCTGAAAAAACTTACTATATAAAGAAAATTTGAGAGAAAATGCAAAATTGTATATAACATATTAAAAAGAATTTTTGAAATAGTTAAATTGATACAGAGTTGCTCATATTTCATTAGTAAAAATGCTTCAATATTTCATAATCATATCTCCATCTTTATTACCATACTCATTAGTCGACCCCCACATTTTTGTAAAATTTTGGTATGTATGGTAGTGCAATTTACTTAAAATTTAATGTGTTCTAATTTCATTCATTATTTTTCCAAAAGTTTTAAAAAATCATTGTATGTTTTAAAATTTATATTATTATTTTGATCAATTAACTACACAAACCTGCGAAATTGAAGTTTTGGAAAAATACAAGAGAAGTTATTGTTGATTTATATGTTATTTGATGTGCTGATTCCGAAAATGACCTTCATTTTCCACCATCACGTCAGGATTTTTTGTAAAATCAATATTAATGTTTTTACTAAAATCGCATTTGGAAAGGAATTCACTTAAACAATTGTGCATGTACTGTCTGGTAACCGTTCTTCTTTATTCATTTCAATCTATTTAAATTGAATCTTGTGAAGGTAAATTAATTTTTGAGCGAAAGGCAAATTTTTTGTAAGTTAAAATGAAAGAAAAATATGCCAGATCGTACAAGTTACCTCTGGTCAAGAGAAAAAACAATACGTTCCTTGAATTTAAACTTTTTACATAAGTTTCTAGAAGAAAATCACCAACATATCATTTTAATTAATTTTCATTAAGGTAAGCTTACGTAAAATTAACGATTGACCAAGAATAGCAAATATTGTGTGTGTACATGAAAGTTTGAAACAAAAAACAAAACAAAAGGAAAACTTTCTATGTAAGTACATGCACATTTTTCTTTATAATTTATTTTTGATGATCTTCTTTCAGGGGCCCCCACCAGGGGGGAAGGTGGGCGCATGATGCACCCACTTACAGCATGGGGGGGATTTTTATGCTAAATAAAACGAATAGTTTGGGGGGGGGAATTTAGAATTGCCCAAGAATGCGTCGAAGAGCGTGGGGTGGAGGGTGGGGGCCACTGTCTTCTTTTATGCTTAACCTTATGCCGATCTCGAGTTAGCATCTAACAGGAGTCGTCGAGCATGTTCTTGTCCCATCTTCCTTGATATTTAAGCTCCCTATCTTTCATTTTCTGATGGAACCTTTCACTTTGTTCTTCGTTGACTGCTCTCGCATTTTCTAGAAAAAAGCCCACATGCAAATGAAGGAAATGCATTTTGACACTCGTGGA